ACTCCAATATTTTGAAGGGCATCTACAGCTCAATTTTTTGTTATGAAGCCATGTTCCATGCTGAGACACACCGTATCCTACAACATGCTGAGGTACGAGCTTCAACGGTTGTAGCGTCTGTCTAGGAGAGACTAACCGTATCCATCACGGCACATGTGGATGTGACGACTGATCGTAGTTGAGTCGGCACGTCGCGCCGCAGGAACGCGAGGCCTGAGGCAAAAATGGAGTCGTACATGCGAAATAAATGGACACAATAAGTGATGCAAATCCTCACCTTCTTGAGCTCCTCCCCGCATGCTTGATCGCATTGTCCCGCTTTCGCACTCCTTTTCCTCTCAGGATTCACCTGATGTCCTAGTGTGTTTCCCGAGAAGTACCAGTCTGTAAACACCGAAGGAAAGCAGTTGAATACTTGTGATTTGAAGAGCGTAACCCGGGTTTGAAGCACATTGCAGTCAGGAAAGCCCCAGAAAATACAGAATCGAGACTCAGCCGTATTAATCCGCCATTCCAACCGTACTCCCCGGAACTAAAGCGGGAATTCATATACAGACACGCGGGGCTTACAATTCCTGTGTGAGGAGTTCAGAAACACCAAAATTAAATCAAGAAAATAATCCTCATTGCACTACTCTCCAACACACAGTACCAATAGGATTTACTATTACCATCCAGTGCATAGTCTGAATCTGTTGGCAGGGTCGTTGCCGGACCTTAGTTTCCCGTCACTGCCACAATGAATACCCACGCCTCTGCCTAGCTGGGAAGGGTGAGTAATCTCAGTTTTTAATTCACAGCACGTCTTTATCTCAATAAAACTTCACATTCTTGTTTCCACATGAATCCCAGGTAGTTTTCACCATGCTTTGGACCATAATTCAAGTATTTATATTTTTCCCTTCGTTTCCCGAAGCAGAGGAAGGTTCAAGCATTGACCACGGCATTCTGAGGTCCGTTCTAAGATCCGGTAACCGGTGTGCCAACGAAATCAGATTCTATATTGAAAATTTATCGACTTTATCATAAATCTTTTTTTTTTTAGAGTTTGACTGCGGGAGAGTATCCAGTGCACAAACTTCAAGCGAGGATCAAATACAAGGAAGGCAAGTTATGCTGGTGAATTATTATTATTGTGCGACTTGTGAGAGCGGAAATTATAATCTCGGCAGACTCGTGTAAGCATTCTTGAGCACAATGATAGCGAGAATGTAGCAAAAGGTATACGTATACTTCTACAAGACCCGAGTCAGCGTCTGATCGATATCGCATACGGCAGAAAAACCAACCATGTACGTTTTGTGGTCGTAGCGTGGACCGCTCACAACACGTACGACTCGATATGCCAAGAACGCATGCACCAGAACGAGGCTGACCGGGGCGATGGCGAGGATACCCCCCCACCACAATATTCCCACCGCAAGAGCAGTCGAACCGGCCATAATCCTGCGCGCGACGATGTCCCCGTAAACGATCGGCAGCGTCTTCCGGCCCACCACCCGATCGCCCTCGACGTCCCTTAAGTCCTGGATATTCACTGTGGATCCTGCCCACAGCGAAATGGCCAAAATATAGCTCTGGGCTGTGGGCGTAAGGGGGGCGACCGCACGCCACGAGGCGCTGAGCAGTGTCACCGTCCCGATAACCATCCCAACACAATTTTTGCCCAACCAGTGCGCCCCAGCGGCGGTCAGGCACAGGAATGCAGTAGTAAGCACCCATATCGCCGATTCGGCGAGTAGGTTAGGCGGGGGAATCGCTGTCGCGAAGAAGGCCACTAAAACCGCGAGACAGCGCATTTTCGCGCCCCGGAGCGTGATCTTCCCGGACGGAAGGGGCCGTCCCGGTTTGTTAACGCGGTCCTCGTCGATCCCCGTAATCTGATTCGTCAAGTCGAAAAAGTACATGTATAGCGTGAGCCAGACGACGAGCCGGGGGAAGGCGGTATAAAAGCGAAGCTGCAGATGATTGGCCTGTGGCAATGGCACCGACGGCCCACGTGGAGCCAGGGAAAAATCGTGGTGCTCCAATCCCTCCACGTAAACGGCAAAGAAAATAGTCGAACTCGTAGGAAATTAATTCCAGGAGTTTGTTCATTGTCGAATTCGAGTTGAAGATACAAGGGAAAATGGGTGGACGGGCGAAATAATAGCACCCACAGGACCCCCAATAAATACTGTTATATATAGCCCTCGGTCGACGACGGTGGCGGCCTCTGTGCTGGGATCGGGCATTGGGCTCGGGCCAGAGGGTTGAAGTCCGCCCATTATAAATGCTGTCTCCGTGGAAGTCGCGTCTAACTTCAAGTTTGATCAAGAAAATTACGGACCCACAGGATCTCCTATGAATGAGCTTCATCGTGTGCTTCCGCACTTGATGCCGGAACCGAGGCCGGGTGCCGGCTCAGCCGCCATCGATGTTGCCCAACCCGATCACGATGCTCCACAGAACGCCATCGTAGAGCCACCGGAAAGTCCAACTGGTGGCCACCAAGCAGAAGGTTTACCTGAAAAATCGAAGGTATTCCTCCTACAAAGGAATTCGAAAAAAGTGGCACAAGTAGGCCTGTCATCATTCATGTCATAATTCATGAGGGGGTATGCTATACGTATGCGTTCGTTACCGAGATTAAATAATGTGTCCGTGTCGTGAGGTGCAGAGGGAGGAATATTTGAGAAATAAGGGAGGGAAAATTAGGGAGACGCAGGGATCGAAGAGTTCGGACGGAGGGATCGAGGAGTTCGGACAGAAGGATCAAAAAGTTCAAGTCGTAGGGGAATTACTTGGCGGGGGTCGTAGCAGCAGCATTCGAGGACGTGGTTTTCCACTATATGCGAGTTAGATTATTCCGACAATAAGATATAGCACTCACGATGAAACTAGCCTAGCCACTCCAACGTCGTCGGCGGGAGCACGAGCGCCGGATCGTCGCTCGCAGCAATATTATTCGCAATTTTCTCCTCCGCCTCCTCCTTGTCCTGCTGCGGCCTTCTTCTCCGCCTCCGCTGCCTTGAACGCCGCCTCGCGTTTCGCCATGATCTTCTTGATCGCGGCTTTGCGCTTCGCCTCCGCGTCCTTCTGCGCCTTGGCGCACTCCGCCGCGGCGAGCTTCTCGGCCCTGCGGAACTCGTCGTGTGCGGTCTTCTCCGCCTCCTGGCGCTCCTTCCACGCGTCCTTCTCCGCCTCGAGCCGCTGCCGCGCCTGCCTTCTCCTCCGCCTTGGCGCGCGCGGTCTGTGCGCCCGCCTCCTCCTTGCCGCCGGATAATCGAGGCAGTCGTCGCAGCCTACATGCGCAGTCATAAATGAAGAACGCAATAAATGATGCAAATCCTCACCTTCTTGAGTTCCTCCCCCGCATGCTTGATCGCATTGTCCCGCTTCTGCGACGCAATCTTCGTCAGCGCCGCCACCTCCTTCTCATAGTCCGCCTTGGCCTTGTCGATCGCAGCCTTCTCCTTCAGGGCCGCCTTCTCCTTTGCCGCAGCGGATTTTTCTTCCGCCTGCACGTCGAATACAATAATCAGCCATCGAAAATTGCCACACGCAGCAACACACACACCTTCTTGGTAGCCGCCTCGGCGAGCTTAACCGCCTCCTCCTTCGCCTTGATCTCCGCCTCGATCGCGACCCGGTCCTTCGAGTCCTCCTGCGTCGCAGCGAAGTCGTCTACCCACGCCTCCAGCTCCGCCGCGCGTGCGATGGCCGCCGCCTCCTCTATAGGGGTAGTATTCAGTCAAGACTGCCAGTAAAACGTATATCCAAAGCAAGCACGTACCAGCGGCAGCAGCCTTCTGCGCATCGGCGGCGGCCTGGTCTGCGGCCGCCTCGGCCTCGGCAGCGAGCTTGGCGGCGTCGGCACTGCGCTGGGCGGCGTCCGTTGCGTGGCTAGCGACGGAGAGGGGCGAGTCCTCGGCGGAGACGGCGGCGGGGGTGTTCTTCTTGGCCATGGCTATGAGAGTGGTATGGTATTAGGCGGGGACGAGTAGAGGGAGGGAGGATACGAGGAAGATGGTGAGCGCAGGAAGAGAGACAGCCAAGCTAGGCTCTAGGGGCACATGACGCAGTGGAGCACGTCAAATGTTCGGGAGCAGTACTCCTGACACATTCAAAATGACATCCAGGGAATCTTCAAAGACATGAAGAAATGTTATGAACGGAAATGAACATTGGAGAACGCTACGGCCAGAAAGCCGAGACAAATTAGCTGCCCAAAAGAAATTATTCTGGTTCTATCTTGCACCGAAGCGCATAGTTATTAGCCTTGTCTATGCATAACTTTGGAAGTACATGACACGCACAATGGCAAGTGTCAAAAATGAAACATGCTTTCGCTCAAAGTTAAAAAACCAAAAAAGCAACAAAAGAATGGACACATTGGGAATTGAACCCAACACCTCTCGCAAACCGCTGATTGCTAAGCGAGCGTGATAACCAACTACACCATGTGCCCGTTGAACAGGGGCCAAATCCGTGCATCATGTCGCATCGTTACCATTAATTGTTTGATCAACTTTACATCGCTCGCTTGAATGCGATGGGATAGAGGCTGAATTTAATCTGCTGCAGCTGCAAGTGCGTAAATCCACTTGAATGTGCTGGATGAAGCCGCAAACCACTGACCGAATTTAGTGCGGTACAATGAAATATATATATTTGGTTTGAAGTTGAATTCGCTGGTTGATGCTCATGTTGCGACAGCGTCCGATACGGTGCTTCACCTGCAGCCGCCTCGAGTACCCCTTTAACCTGGAGAATTTTCGGAGAGGCACTCTGGATGCCAGGAATCTATAGCTTCAAGTGAGTTCATTTGATCGATTGTGGTTACCAACCTGAGTACTAAAGTCATCCGGCGCACTTTACTACTACTACTACTGCACGTAGAATGGGCGGAACGTCCAAGCATGAAGGCCTGTTTCCCGGCAATACGCCCTTGTACAACTTCGTCTCGCCGAGGTCATGTTCGGAAGCTACCAGAACTAAAAAACACCAAAAGGGCAAAATGGACACATTGGGAATTGAACCCAACACCTCTCGCAGACCGCATAAATGCTAAGCGAGCGTGATAACCAACTACACCATGTGCCCCGTTGAGTAGACTCGAGATCGCCACATCATGATCATGTTGCATCGTTACCATCAATTGTTCACTTGACTAACTTCGCTGCAAGTGCGGTTTCAATCCACTTGAATGCTCAGAATGAATTGTGACGATCATAAGGCACGCTGAATTTAGTCTGTTGCGGCGAAATATAAAATATTTGGTGGATGGTTGACGGAACCGATCTATCAGCAACCCGCAATGGGAAGTCCGAAAACAAAATAAAGATGTGAGCGCGCCAGCCAAGTGTCAGGAAACCCCGCGTCACAGTAAATGTAAGCATGAATCACAGAACATCACCACAATTGGAAACTCACGGAAACCAACATACAAAAATAAAATCAAAAGGCCGGGCGCGGCGCTACAGGACTCTACCTAACACGGCATTGAGAGCAGAAGGCCGAGAATCGCCACACAGGAATACGAAAACAGTTGGAAATACTGAAAGTAGAACCAAATTGAGGCCTCACGGATGTATGAAACATTTCTCGCGGGACGCACAGAAATCAAAAAGAAATCTTAGAACGGGGAGCGCGGCCAAACATGTCCGGTAGAGTAGCAAATACGCTGGGCATGTCTGAATGAGAAATAGAGACAATATGAATGGAATGGAATTTATTTACCACGGCCAAAATCGAATAACATCCGCGGGGGCAGAAGAATGTTTAGATTCTGGAGGAGCGGGTTAGTAAATTTAAGGAAGAATAGCATTAGCGGAGCAAGAGCGAGACTCACGCTTTGAAATGGCGCGGTTGGCGGGGCGTTGAAAATCGAAATACCGTCGCAGCTCGTCGGGGCAGGTGAGACAGAGAGACGAAACGTTCTCGATGTGCTGTTTGGAGAGAAAAAATGGTGTATTTGTACCAGGACCGCGGGGAAAGCTTTAACTTGGGCATGGGTTGAAACGTCAAAGAAAGCCGAAATTTCGACGCACCACGTCCTGAAAATGGTTGAGGTAAGTAATATCGAGCACATTTGAGTAGTTCACGGTGTTCATGAACGGCTTAAGTACGTGGGCAGGGTGGTGGCAGGAAGCAAGCGGCTAACTGTGTGGACACTGAGTTTGCACACGACTCCGAAGTCAATTTTAGCCACACGACGCCGCCGCCGCAGACCGACGGGCTCAAGTGGCCTGCTCTGAATAGTTACACTTCGGACACGGACACTTCCCTTCATTTAAACCGCTCATATGTTCTTATAATTACGCCTGAAGCATGCAATCTTTAATTCGGAGTTTTCTAAACTCGGGAATAGTTTTTTTTCGAACTTTTCCTCAGTATCGAAAGGCGTGAACGGCGGAAGCTTAAACCAGGCACTCCCAAAGTTTACGCAATATTTTAGTGTATCTATTTCTTGACTTTTTTCAATTCCCCCCACTTCTATCAGTGTCGACTCTGTCGAGCCAGAATCGTGAGGTAAATCAAAAATTATTGAAATATTCTACTACTGGCGTCGTCAAATTTCAATTCAATCAGTATTTACACAATGTTTGCAGAAATAATGCAGAAATACGCATAGTTACGTGTTCAGAGATCCAGCCAGTATCTGCGCTACACCCTCATCTCCGAAAAGTCCGAAATGCCCCACTCCACGAAGGTAATGGACCCTCACTGGTTTCGAAAGGCGGCTGGCCCCGAGATCCGGCAATCGCCTGCCTATCTCAGACCGCACAATACCATGCTCGGCAACAAGCAGGACCAACGAGGCCTTAACGGAGGACAGCCAAGTATTGAATGCTGCGTCGGATTTCTCCCCATTAGCTCGGTAAAACTCCTGGAGGAACCTAAATAGAATCAGAACCAACGCTCTGGGGTCCCGGGCCGTGGTGGCGCCATTTGCCTTCGACAAGCCACGAACAGTGCCAGCTCGATAGCTCGCAAGTATCTCCGAACTGACCGCGGGATCATTATCGAGCAGGCCCAGCGTGGAGTCCCTGGAATTGTCTGCCAAGCGCCGTATTTCTGCTGCCGTCCTTGCCCCCCACATCATGTCGGACTCCGCCCAAAGGGCGGGACAGTGATCAATGAAAATGAGCTCGACAACCACGTTCCCTGCGTCCTCCAACATCTTCGCCAATGCGACCCCAAATACTGTGCCGAGCGAAAAGGATGCGAGTCGGCACGGACCATGGGTCACCTTTTCAGTGATCTGTCGTTTCCAAAATCCAACCAAGTCCTCGAATGTTTCCTGGGGGGTGGTCTCGGTAACCTGTAGCGCCCAAAGTGGGCCCACAAAGTGTTCCTTGAGGGCGAAGAATACCCCGATGGTACCATTGCCGCCTGGAACAATGATGGTGGGGGTCCCGGGTCCGCTGCAGATTTGCACGAGCGGTTGGGTGGTTTGTTGAGGAAACTCAAAATTTAATACGCCCTTGGACTCTCGCGACGGCTCATTGGTATTGGTGGTGCACTGCAGCTGAGGCTCGATCTTGGACCAGGTGGCGCCTGCGAGTAGCTGCATCTGCGAGAAAGAGCCATAGGGGCGGAGAATGGACGCAAGCTTCGCCGCGCCGATGGAGTCGAGACCGTACTTCATCAGGGGCTGTGTGGTATCGAAGTCGGATGCAGAGACCTCGAGAAGCTCCAAGACTTGAGAAAGTAACCCCGTGGGGGCGTTGGAGGACGGAGAATTCTGATTGGATTCCGCGCTGACAACTTTAGGAGAAAGGGGAGAGAGTAAATGGCGACACGTGATAGGAAGGCCGAAAACCCTGTCGATAGCGGCCCAGTTGAGGTCAGGGATATACTGATTGAATGGGGAATGGTCCAGTTTGCGAAGGCCGTCCTCAAGGCAACGCCATAGAGCTAGAAAAATTCATCACTGAATTAGTTCAAGTTGACGCATTGTGAAACTAGAACACCGAGATACCTTCCGCCGATATAGAAGCAAAGCCATCCTTATCAACATGCTTCAACTTCGGGTGGGCCTGCAAAACTGTCAGTGAGGTCTAAGGAAGCGCGTTGACAAGACTGACAAGGTATCCAACGTCTACAATACCCGGAACTATCAGAGAAAAGGCGTTGGGATAATCAGCCAGAATGCCGTCCACGGCCGTGCAAGCGCTGTAATATAATGGATTTAGTGCCACGGCTTTGCAAACTGGAAAACAAAATTGACCTTGTATAGTTCGACTGTCCTGGCGTTCCGATAAGTCCATTGATCGATGACAGCGCAACGAAGAAGTCAAGCGATTGAATTTCAACCTGCCCCGCAAAAATTCCTAACGCTCTGGGCTTGGAATTCCAGACGCTATTGAATGTGTCGTGTGTTTGTTTGAAAAACAGTGCATCAGCGAGAACAAGGGTCATCAGGAAGCAGCCGGCGATGGGGATGGGCGAGCTGTGAAGCAAAACATTCATCTGTTTGACGTCGGTGGCGTCGCACTTCTCCAGTCGCAGATTGAGATCATTCAGAGTTCGCAAATATGCAACTTGGGCCAACGCTATGGCGTCTTCTACTGGATGTAGGGACTCGATGCCCCTGCGGGAGGTAAGAACGAGGTGTCGCGCTCCGTGCTAGAATCTATGATCAGCCTGCTGGGCTCAATTGTTGGGGAATGAATGAATGAATTACCTGATACAGCCAGACAGCAAGATCAATTCCAAGCCCGCCAATTCCGCCAAGGAGGATATAAGCACAGTCGCCTCGGAACGGGGGGAGCGGCACGAGATCTGAGACGAGTAGTGGTAGAGCCAGCCCGGAAGGTGTCCCCAATGGTGCGCCGGATCGGCACTGTGGTCACGCACGGCGTGGTTGAAATTGGAGGGGGAGACAACACCACGCGGGGAACATGCGCAGCACCGTCGGCGTCAAATAATACAACAGTATCTCCTGCGTTAAATGTGTTCATATGCCGAATGAGCATCGGAATAGGGTCGGAGAGATCCATCCCAGAATCTAATATTGCCAGACGGATATTCCACAATGGAATTTCCTGCCTCAGCGAACTGCACAAACCGAGAGCAGCGTCCGCATCCCGTCCTCGCATAGCCAACAGATAAATTGTGTTCGGAACCGCGGTATCGATATACCCAAGGTTTTGCTGTAGCTCGATTTCGTTCCCACATTCGTATGAGTAAATGTGCTGGAGGTCGGTGCCAGCATCCAAACTTGGAGTGCCATGCGAGTGCGCTTTTTGAGCGACAAAGAAGAATTCGTGACCGCTAGCTCCGTCCTCCGTACAGATCTGAACGTTGATGAAGTCCACGGCCTCCAGGTGCTTCTTCCATGTGGTTGGAGGCATAGAGCAATGATCACGACCGTCGAGGTAACCGAACCATTCAGCGAATGACCCGAAGATGAAGTCGAACCAGACAGTGCCCGCCCGATTATTTATCCATGCGGTCCGATCAAGCTCGACTATGAGAAGAGAACCACCAGGTACAATGAGATTCTGAAGCGAGGCGAGGCACACTTTTGCAAAAGGAGTCGCGTGAAGGACGTGCAGCCCAACCACCACATCGTAGGAGTTCGTGTGTATTCCCTGAGCCTCGGGGTCCTTGTTGAGATCATATGCCTTAGGTATGATCGATCTGTAGGCTGTGTTCCGGGCGAGTTCAGAAACGAGCTGATAGAGAAGACATCATGAGCACGTATTACACACGAAGTCAGTTCAAGGAATCACGGTATATGAAATGTCTGTCACGGTGTACTCGACCAACAGATCGGGATGTTGTTTCAGTTCCTCGATGAGATGGCAAGTCAAAAGCCCAGTTCCTGCAGACGGAATAATAAGCAATTGGGTGAGGGAGGCGTGTGGCGAGTACAAACCGGCACCGACTTCCAAAACCTTGATGAATTTCTTGCCGTTTTCCTGGAGGGATTTGAGGATGCAAGAAAACTGCTTTCGTGGCCTCCATGCAGACATTGCTGGTTTGGTTTGCCTTGGAGTAGAATTTGACCATGAGGTCATCAGAGTACAACGCATTCACGCCATGCTGTCGTCATGTCATGTCAGCCATGGTTAGGAACTTACATGCGGCATTAC